GGGGCTTCTAGGTGGGTGTAGGACCTCAGTGCTGACCCCTGGTTAGGCAGGCTTCTCGATCCCCTCCCCTCACTGTGACACCGAGGACCCCGGGGCTTGCAGGTGGACGTAGGGTCCCGGCACTGATCCCTGGTTATGCAGGCTTTCCAATCCCCCCACTGATGTCGCGTGGTAGCATCTAGGACCTGGAGACCACCAGGGAGCCCTCAGGGGCATGTGGGTGAGGCTGCAGGGGTCCTGTTCAATCACGCATCACACACCCTCTCAGGTCTCCCCTGGGGTGGCCCGAGAGACCTGCCATCACATCAGCCAGGGTGTCCAGGGGGGCCCAGGGGGGCTTCCTCAGGCTGGGGGAGGAGAGCCTGTGTGGGGGCCCGCCTGGGGTCACACAGGGCAGCGGGCGCCCAGTGGTGGTTCGAGATGCCGCGGGCTTCCTAAGTAACGTGCTCTCTGTTCTTCTCTCCCCCCGCCTAGTGAATGGGGAAACCTGTAAGTCACTTGCTTTTCCCGTGCCTGTCGCCTACCCGCTCCCGCACGCTTCCCGTGACCGCGTGTGCTGGTGTGTGCATGTCTGTGTGCCCGGCGGAGCGCCCGCCACGGTGCTGCCGTGCCAGTGTGCCATGCGGTCCGCCCCCCACCCAGAGCGCTCTCGGAACATTCTGGAATCCACCTTGTAAATCGCATTTCAGAACTGGGACCGGGAGCACTGGACGAGCAGCCTCTGCTGGGGGGCCCCTGTGCTTCCGTGCGTGCTAGCCTGTCCGTTGCACCCCTTAGAGCAGAAGCGTTTAGTCCCGGCGACGCCTCGTTCTGAGCTCGTGCGAGGCCTGGTTCGGTGGGGCTGCCGTCTCCCGTGAAGCCGAGTCCTCTGGGCTGCCGTGCTTCTTAGGCTCTGTGTGAAAAGGCATGGATTCCCGTGTGGTTGGGCCCCTGCGGGGTGACTTGGGTCTACGCTCCTTGTGGGGGTCAGTGCCAGCAGGTCCACGGCCGGGGGTCACGTGACCTGGGGGTGGGGGTCACAGCTAGCTGTCACAGCTAGCCGGGGGGCGGTCACTTGGTCAGTGGGGTTACTAGGCCGGGGGGGGGTCACACGTACCAGGCCTGGGCAGGGAAGAGGGAGCGTCCCTGGGAGGCCGCGCGGTTGTTTGGGGCTGTTTCTGTCCCCGTCTCTCTGTCTATTCCCCACCCCCACCCCCACACCTGTCTGGGTTGTGCCCCTCACCGGGCAGGGACAGAGAGGAGCCTGTTTCGAAGACTCTTCTCCACAGACACACCGTGTGTGCAGACGTGTTCTTTGGTGGCTCGCAGACCCGGCTGTCTGGGAATAAGTGCCCGGTTCCCTGCTTCCTGGGCTCGGGGGGCGGCGGGGCTGCTCGCGGCCTCGGACCGTGCTCCAGGGGTGTCACCCCAGAACCCAGGGCCTGTCTAGACCCAAACCTCTGGTTTTAAGATTGTACGTTAGCCTCTCCCTCTCCGAGCCCCGACAGAGCCTTTATATCACACACACGCTTTTTGAGAGTTGCTGTTTGTCCCAGCGTGTTGTCCTTGTGGTCCCGCCCAGGCCCCATGCCCGGCTCTCACATGCGAGGTGCTGGGCCGCGGCCGCGGGGACCCGGCCCGACCTGCCTCTTACCAGACTAAACTGGAGGATGAAATAGGGCGCCGTCCCTGCCGTTCCCTGGCTAATTGGGGGTTATCATCGGGTTTATCTGATGTAAGAGCGGAGCTGATCAGAGGGTGAGCTTGGGACTTCCTGCTGGCCTCTCCCTGACCCCGCGTGCCATGGCGTCTGTCTGTCTGTCCATCCGCCCCTCTCGTCCCGAGCATGGGCCACCTCCCCTGAGGGTGGCTGGCAGGATTGTAACCTAGTGAGCCTGGGCCACGTGGGGTGCGAGCTGAGACGTGGCCTGTGCTGGGGTGCTCTTGTTCAGGGGGATGCTGGTCACTCTGGGCCAGACCCCGCATGCTCCTCACTGTGCAGGCCTGGCTGGACAAGGGAGCGCGAGCAAGCGGCCGGGAGGTGTGGGGTCAGGAGGACACTCGCCCAGAAGGCCCGTCTGCCTGGGGGAGACCTGCTGCCTAGACGCTGGGAGCCCGGCAGCTGTGGTGATCCTAGATGTAAACTGCTGACAGCCGTCTCACTGCCAAGTAGAAGCAGCTGGCCTGCTCATAAAGGCTGTGGGCCCTGTAGGTCTCGGGGGCTGCGCAGTCTGAGTTCTGACACAGCCTTTTAACAGATCATCACCAGCGAGGATTCACTCAGATTCAGGGCACTGCCTGTGCTGCTTAGCACACGTGGTGGTTAGAGACAGCGTGGTGTTAGCGTGTGTGGGGTTAGCATGTGCGGGGTTAGTGTGTGTCGGGTTAGCGTGTGTGGGGTTAGCGTGTGTGGGGTTAGCATGTGCGGGGTTAGCGTGTGTGGGGTTAGCGCGCGCGGGGCCGGCGCGCGTGTATTAGCGCGCGCGGGGCCGGCACGCGTGTGGTATTAGCTCCGGTGTGGTTTCAGCCCTGTTCCAGTGTGAGCCTGGTGCTCATCATGTGTGCCAGTGTGAGGGTGGTGCCAGTTGAGCGTGGTGCCCGGGTGGCACGTGTCTCCTCCTGCAGGAACCAGTCCAATGTCAGGAGGATGCACACTGCTGTGAAGCTCAACGGCGTCGTCCTCAGCAAGTCCCAGGACGCCCAGCTGGTGCTGCTGAACATGCCAGGGCCCCCCAAGAACCGGCAGGGTGACGAGAACTGTATCCTTCCAGTCTTGTTTGTGGCCCTGTGAGCACGGCTCTGCCTCCCAGTCCACCGGGGGTGGGTGGGTGAGTGGCTCTGAACTTGGCTTTGTGTGTTGAGATGGGGGCCCCGGAGGTGGGACCGGCATGGGGAGATTCAGGACAAGGCGGACAGGGCTAGCCGTGGAAGGGGTGTGTGGGGAACCGCCTGGCCCTGCCCACACCAGGGTCCTAGAACCCACCTCCACAGACATGGGGCGAGGTGGGAAGATGGGTGCAGGGGTGACAGGGCAGGACCCTGACCCTGTCGCCCGCCTGCCCCACGTGTCTGGTCATGATGTGATCCTGGGAGTGGCGGGGGGGGTGGTGGGTGGTTCCCCTTCTTGGCGTTTGGAGACAGGACATTGAATTTTGGAGTGCCAGGGTTGAGCCTGGCAAGTGCTGGGGGAGGGGCTCTCAGTAACTTGGGGCATCAGCATTGGGAATGTGGCTGGAAGAGGTGACAGAGGAGGGAGTCAGCCCACAGTGGCCTCCTGGGGGTGAAGGATGGCAGGGCACTGCGCTGGGATAGTCCCCTGCTAATGCCCGAGGGTACAGTGGTGACACCAGTCACAGCGGCCTCAGCCTGGTGGGGGTAGCTTGGCCCTCCACGCCCAGCCTCAGGCTGCGTGTCAGAGCAGGTGGCGTGCCCAGGGTAGGGGTAGGACAGCTCTCCCTCCCTCGGGCAGTCCTCCCAGATGGTCCCCCCGATGGTTGCCTGGACGGTCTCCCCAGAGGGTCTCCCCAGAGGGTCCCCCCAGCTAGTCCCTCCCAACAGTCTCCCCTGGAGGGTCCCCGCAGGTGGTCTCTGGTCTGAGCCATCTCTGCTCAGAAGCCAGTGCTCAGGGGCTTTCTTGGACCTGGGGCCCCTGGCTGAGAGCTTGTGCCAGGTGGGGTCGGCAGACGCTGGCTCCATCCCTGGCTCTGTCTGTTGCCCCCAGGTGGCCTGTCCTCTTCTTTTCCCTGAGCACCTCCTCGCTCCGCTCCCCTCTGACCCCCCACCCCCACCCCACCTCACCCCCGTGTGGAGCGGCTGTGCCTTAACTTTCGCCCAGACATGGAGTTCCTCGAGGTCCTGACTGAGGGCCTGAACCGCGTCCTCCTGGTCCGGGGCGGCGGCCGGGAGGTCATCACCATCTATTCCTAACGCAGCACCGGGCGCGGGTGCGGAGGGACAGGCAGTGGCCCTGCGTCCCCGACGACCTCCAGGCGGCTCCCCCAAAGCAGTTCCTGAGCTCCGCCCTCCATCCCTGGGGGGCTTCCAGACCCCCTGACCGCAGAGGACGGGCAGCGCCCCAGAACTGAACCCCTCTTGGCCGGGCCACGTGCTTCTGGCAGTGGTCACTTTTCCCCCAGCCAGAGTGCACGAGGAGGCCGGCCTGCGCCCCGTCTTCCCAGGCAGTCAGGCTTGCTTGCTGAAGTTGAAGCTTTTCGCCGTGGCTGAGGCTCTGGATAGGCCCCTCGGTCCCTCCCAGCCCTGTCATTAAGGGGGACGTCCGTGCTTGCAGACCACACCCTCCATGCAGGAGAGGCAGTCCCCGGCCCGCCCACTTGTTCTGAGCACAGGGGACGGTCACGGTCACTGTAGGGGCGTGGGGGCTGACCTTCCCATCCAGTCTCGGCTCTGCTCCACTGGACTCTGCTCCGCGAACTTCTAGTGGCTCCGCCTGCACCCGTGGCCGGGTGTCTGCTGGATGGGCTCTTTCCTGCCTGAAAACCAACTGTGAAAGTCCAAGTGGAGGGGATGGGGCTGGAACCCAGGGCGCATCCTGTAGATACGAGCAGTGTCTCCACCCGGACACGGTGGCAGGACGACCCCTCCAGCCTCAAACACGCTGCTCCCCAGGGCATCGGACACCCGCGCCCCAGCCAATGTGAGGAGGTGCTTCCACACCACTCATGCATCTGCAGGCGTCCCTACGCCTACAGCCCGGCCCTGGGTGAACATGGGACCTGCGTGTCACTCCCTGCCTGCACGCGCCTTGCAGATGCAGCCTGGCTGCGTCTGAGGCGCTGGTTCGGATCAAGTGCGCACTTCACCTTTGAGTGTGCACTTCACCTTGGACCTCCCTGCGGTCTAGGTCAGTCGGCTGCAGGCTAGGTTCCTGCAGTGATCGAGTCTCCTTTCTGTATGACTTATTTATTTATTTAAATGCACCAGGGGAGTGTCAGTGATAACTAAATTGTCCATAGAGATTGCTTCTACAAAAGGGGCCCGAAGGGTTGGCTGCCCACTGGATGCAAATGAGGTAAAGGCTAAACCCAAGCTTCCAGAATTTTCTGAGGCGCTGAGCGTGGGGGTCAGGCAGAGCATCCACCCCCCAGGACGGCAGTCCCTGGGCAGCTGCAGAAGGGCAGGGGAGAGGCTGCAGGGGGCTGTTGCGGGGCTCCCGGCTGGGGGAGCAATGCCAGGGTGTGGGCAGACCCCACAGCCGGCCGGACGTCCAGCATGAGCCGAGCAGCGAACGTGCCTCTTGCATACATTCTCTCCCGTGTCTGGGCCAGCCACCCAGCCAGGGTCGGGGGCTGAGAGGAGAGCGTCTGAGCACAAACCCCGTAGCGTGCTGTGTTAGCACCGGCTTTTAGGAAAGCAGCTCCTATCACAAATCCTGTTGCAAGAGATTGATTAGCCAGCCTGACACGTGGGCACAGGCTGAATCCGAGTGCTCCACGCCACGTGTGTCCGCGTGTGGCTGGTCCTGCACTGCTTTGCAGTTCTCTGTGTGTGCAAGCACCGTGGATTCTTTGTACACTGTAAACCGTTCTGTAACCAGTAACCTCAGCCATTCGAGGTTGGTTCCATGTTTTACTTTTATAGGTTCTTTGTATGATTTTGTTAGTGGAAGAATAAAATTGTATGAAATCTGAGTATGCTGAAGAATATAGTGTGTCTCATTCGGCATAAAAATTCCCTCTTTGAGGAGTTTCTTTTGGGTGTGATCAGCCAAAGTAAGCTCAGATGGCTACAGAATTGTCACGTGAATTGGGTAAGAGAAGTAAAAATAACAAAACAAAAAGCTTAATCAACAGGAGTCTGTCCTATACCCTGTGTCTTAGTTTCTTAGTTCTGCCTTAACAGAAATACCACAAATGGGTGGTTTAAAGAGCAAGAAATGATTGTCTCACAGTTCTGGAGGCTAACAGTCCAAATCAGGGTCTCGGCCGCGTCAATTCCTGCCTTGTTAGTAGCCCCGGGCGACCCTTGGGGGTTCCTTGGCTGTAGACAGTCCTCACATGGCATCTGCCCCCCACACACACACACACCCTGTGTGTGTCTGTCTATCCTGGTGTTTTTATAACTCAGTTGTGATTATGGTTAGGACCCACCCTGCTCTGGCATGCCCTCGTTTGTGTAACAAAACAACCCCCTATTTCCAAACAGGATCACATCCACAGGTACAGGGGTTAGGATTCCAACACATGTTTTGGGGGGACACAATTCAATCCATAACACCCCATGTTTAGATTGCAGTGCAATCACTTCATACTACTGTTGGTTGAAGTGATTCAATCTGTGATTTATATTATCTAAGGGTACGGCTGCTAACCAAACGGTCAGCAGTTCGAATCCAATCCACCAGCTGCTTCTTGGAAACCCTATGGGGCAGTTCTACTCTGCCCTATCAGGTCTTTATGGGTTTGAATTGACTTGATGGCAATGGGGTTGGTTTGGTTTGGAAGGTTGGAAGCACCAAAGAAATCTGTCATCTGAGGGGACCTCCAATTGCTGCCTTGTCCCCCCACTCTGCCATGTCAGCCCAGGGCTCTCCTGACACGATGAGGAGACCACGAGGCAGCTTTGATGGATGGTGAGGGCAATGCTTTCCCCAAGGATTCTGAGCAGTGTTTCTTAATTAAAGCCTGAGACCCACACACACATTTGCAGGCTCACACTTTAAACTCATTTAGATGGGGAACATTTTATTGGGGCATTCTTCTCATCCCTCCACACCCCCTCACCCATCAGCCAGATCCTCTCTTGGGGCTCCTGTCCTGGCTTCTGGGTCCTCGGGCTGCAGCACAGAAGACCCCAGAACTCCACAGAGATGGGGGTCATTGCTTCCCTTCATTCTCCCCAGAGCCTCAATGAGTTAGCCTCACATCCCAGCTTTAGGCAAGTATTAGTCTGAGTCTACAACCTCGTAGGGTTAAATACACCAATTCTAGGGCCTAGTGTGACTTCAAATGATCTTGGAAACTTGATTTCAAGTTGCTATTGGTGAGTGTGGCAGAGATGTGGGGTCTGAAACTCAGAATCGAGAGTCCTGTACAGTGGGCTTATGGTCACAGGTATGACCTCAAAGACCTAATGGGAGAGAAAGGATGGACCTGAAAACAATGGCATTAGAAAGCTACCATGTAAGACAAAAATTGTTACTAGAGACAAAGTCATTTTATAAAAAGTTTCAGTCCATCAGGAAGACATAACAATTATAAACATGTACGCACCTAACAACAGAGCCCTCAAATGTATGAGGCAAACACTAACAGAATTGAAAGGAGAAATAATTCCACAATAATAGTTGGAAATTTCAATACTCCATTTTCAATAATGGAAAGATCAACTAGGCAGAAGATTAACAAGAAACCAGAGGACTTAAACATTAAACCAGCTAAGCCTAACAAACATCTATAGAACACTCTGCCCAACAATAGCAGAACATTCTCAAGTACACTTGAAACATTCTCCAGGGTAGACCGTATGTTAGGCTATAGAACAAGCATCAATACATTTAAAAGAATAGAAATTATGTAAAGTATGTTCTACAATTACAATGGAATTAAATTATTAATAACAAGGAAATTTGGGCAGCTCATAAATATGTGGTTATTAATACACTCCTAAATAACCAATGAGTCAAGGATAAATTACAAGGAAAGTTAAAAATACTTTGAGATGAATGAAAATGGAAACACAGCATACCAAAACTTATGTGACACAGCTAATGCTGTGCTCAGAGGAAAAATTATAGCTGTAACTGCCTATATTAAAAATATAGATCTCAACAACTTAATATTCCACCTTAAGAAACCAGAAAAACAAAAGCAAACTAGAGGCAAAACAAGCAGAAAGATGGAAATAGTAAAGACTAGAGCTTGCTGAAAGTGAAGAGGACTTGAAGCACTTAATGATGAAGATCAAAGACTAAAGCCTGCAGTATGGATTACACCTCCACATAAAGAAAACAAAAATCCACACAACTGGACCAAAAAGCAACATTATGATAGACAGAGAAAAGATTGAAGTTGTCCAGGATTTCCTTTTGCTTGGATCCACAATCAACACCTATGGAAGCAGCAGTCAAGAAATCAAACGATGCACTGCTTTGGCCAAACGTGCTGCAAAAGACCTCTTTAAAGTGTTAAAAAGCAAAAACGTCACCTTGAAGACTAAGGTGCACCTGACCCAAGCCATGGTGTTTTCAATCTCCTCATATGTATGTGAAAGCTGGACAATGAATAAAGAAGCCCAAAGAAGAATTGAATTATGATGTTGGCGAAGAATATTGACTATACCATGGACTGCCAGAAGTATGAACAAATCTGTCTTGAAAGAAATATGGCCAGAATGCTTCTTAGAAGCAAGGATGGAGAAGCTTTGTCTCATATACTTTGGACATGTTATCTGGAGGGATCAGTCCCTAGAGAAGGACATCATGCTTGGTAAATTAGAGGGTCAGTGAAAAAGAAGAAGACCCTCAATGAGATGGATTGACACAGTGGCTGCAACAATGGGCTCAAGCATAACGACTGTGAGGATGACGCAGGATCCGGCAGTGTTTCGTTCTGTTGTACACAGGGTTGCTATGAGTCGGAACGGACTTGACGGCACCTAACAACAACAACAGAGCAGAAATAAATGAAATACAGAATAGAAAAACAATAGAGAAAATCAACAAAACCAGAAGTTGGGTCTTTGAAAAGATCAACAAAATTGATAAACTGTAAAAGTGACATGGCAGCAGCAGCTGACATCCTTTAACTTCACAAGGGGGAAAGAGGACCAAAATCAACAGCCCAAGGCTGATTCCTATGAGGTGGAGGTCAGACAAGCCTCCTGTCTGCCATCTTTATTAATTCTGACATTAACTGTCCCCACATGGCATCCTCTTCTTCTCTACTGGGTTTGATAATTCATTGCAATGACCACACAGAACTCACAGACAATACTCACAATTATGGGGTTTATTAGGGAAGTTACAGGTTACAATTCTGGTTAAGGAATGCTTAGGATATAGTTCTTCCTTCAGGATAGCCTTTTCCAAGCCGTGCCTGCAGACACACCTGTCTCTGGCCCTCAGCCTCTGCCCTGCTTGGACAAGTGTTACAAAGCTCTTTAGCTCTGCTGATAAGTGCCCAGAGGCACCCCACTCTGCCAGTAAGCCTTGGCCCTAAGGAGCTCAGCTCTCACTCTGTCGGTCAGCAAACCTAGTCCCACCAAATGCTCAGAGACACCCTACTCCGCCAACAAGCCTCCTACCCGAAGGCATTCAGCTTTTTTCCTCCATGGGCTGGGAAGCCCACCACGCTGTCTCTTGCCAGTCTCTCCTTCCACTGTTTCTTTGGCACCACTTTTGGCCGTCTTCAGTGTTACAGCTCTCTCTAGGTCTCCTGGTTCTAGAAGCTTCTCAGTGCAGGGATCCTGGGTCCAAAGGACGTGTTCTGCTCTTGGCTCTTTTTCCTTGTTGGTGGTGAAATCCTCTCCCTCTCACTTCTAGGATGGCTCATTTCAAGCCAGTGGGATGGAAAAACTGACCAATCCCTTTGTTAGGTTCCATATACTTTATTAGCATGGTCCAACCCACAAAAGTGATCTATTGCACAAACTTTTAGCTAGACTGAAGAAGAAAAAAAGGAAGATTCAAATTAACTAAAATCAGAATGAAAGAGGGGGCATTATTTCCAACTTTACAGAAATAAAAAGGCTTATAAGAGAATACTGTGAACAACTGTATGCCAACAAATTAGATAACCTAGATAAAATGGACAAATTCCTAGAAAGACACGAATTACCAAAACTGACGCAAGAAGAAATAGAAAATATGAATAGACTTATAGCAAGTAAAAAGATTGAATTGGTAACCAAAAAACTTTTCAAAAATAATTGTCCAGGTCCAGATGGCTTTCCTGGTGAAATTCTACCAAACATTTAAAGAATTAATACCAATTCATTAATACTAATTCTTCACAGACTTTCAAAAGAGTGAAGAGGAAGGAACACTTTCTAACTCATCCTATGAGACCAGTATTGCCTTGATGACAAAACCAAACAAAGACATCACAAGAAAATTATATACCAATATTCCTTATGAATATAAACACAAAAACCTTCAACAAAATACTAGCAAACCAAATCCAGCAACATAAAAAAGCTTATATATGATGACTCCATGGAATTTATCCCAGGGATACAAAAGTTTGTTCAACACATGAAAATCAGTGTAATATACCACATTAACAGAATAAAGGACACATGTCAACACGATCATCTCAATAGACACAGAAAAAGCATTTGAGTAAACCCAACACCCTTTCATGATAAAAACACTCAACAAACTAGGAATAGAAGGGAATTTCCTCAACCAGATAAGGGGCATCTATGAAAAACTTACAGCTAACATTATTCTTAATGATGACAGATTGAATGTTTCCCACATGATCAGAAATAAGACAAGGAAGTCCACTCTCACTATTTCTATTAAATAGTGTACCGGAGGTTCTAGCCAGGACAACTGGGGGTGGGGATGGGGAAGGCATCCAGTTTGGAAAGGGAGAAATAAAACTATCTCTAGTCATAGTTGACATGATCTTGTATATAGGAAATCCTAAGGAATCCACACACACACATAATAAGTTCAACAGGGTTACAAGATCAACATACAAAAATCAATTATATTTCTATACAATAACAATAAATCTAAAAAAGAAAATTAAAAATTGTATCTATAATAGCATCAAAAATAAAATAATTACTAATAAGTTTCACAAAAGAAGAAAAAAACATATTTTGAAACCTTCAAAACGTTGTTAAAGAAATTAAGGAAAACCTAAATAAATGGAAAGACATCTCGTGTTAATGGATCCGAAGACTTCACATTGTTAAGGTAGTAATACTCTCCCAAACTGATCTACAGACTCAACACAATCCCAACCAAAACCCTAGCAGGCTTTTTGCAGACAAACTAATCCTAAAATTCATATAAAAATGCAAAGGACTCAAAACAGCCAAAACAATCTTGAGAAAGAAGAGCAAAGTAGGAGGACCCACACTTCCTGGTTTCAAGACATACTACAAAGCTACAGTAATCAAGACAATGTGGTACTGACATAAGGGTAAATATATAGATCGATGGGATAGAATTGAGAGTCCAGAAATAAATCCTTACATTTATGGTCCACTGACTTTTCAAAAGGCTGCTAAATCCATTCGAGGGGAGAAGAATAGTCTTTTCAACAAAATGGTGCTGTGACAACTCTGGATCTTCACGTGCAAAAGAATGAGTTCGGATCCCCTTCCTCACACCATATGTACATATGCAGTAGTTAAAACGAGAAAACACTTAGGAGAAAACTCTTAGAAGAAAACATAGGAATAAACATTTGTGACCTTGGCTTAAGGAATGGTTTCTTAGATATGACATCAAAAGCGTAAGAGACAAAAGAAAAATAGATCCACTGAATGTCTTCCAAATTAAAAATGTTTTCAAAGGACACCATCAAGAAGTGAAAAGAATCCAGAGAATGGGAGAAAGTATTTAAAAAAACATAACTGACAAGAGACTTGTATTCAGAATGTATAATGAACTCTTAAACTTAACAATAAAAAAACAAATAGCCCTATTTTAAAATGAGCAAAGGACCTAAACAGACATTTCTCCAAATAAGATATACAAATGGCCAATAAGTACATGAAAAGATGCTCAACATCATTAGTCATTAGGGAAATGCAAATCAAAACCACAGTGAGCTACTTCTTCACATCCGTTCGGATGGCTAGAATCCAAAAGACAAACATTAAGCATTGGTGAGAATGTGGAAAAACTGGAACCCTCGTATTTTGCTGGTGGGGATATAAAATGCTATAGCTGCTTTGGAAAACGGTGTGGCTGTTCCTAAAATAGCTAAACATAGAGTTGCTGTATAACCTAGTAATTCTACTCTTGTTGTTGTTAGGTGCCATCAAGTCAGTTCTGACTCATAGCAAACCTATCTGTGTACAACAGAATGAAACACTGCCCAGTCCTGCGCCATCCTCACAATTGTTGCTATGTTTGAGCCTATTGTTGCAGCCACTTTGTCAATCCATCTCGCTGAGGTCTTCCTCTTTTTTGCTGACCTTCTACTTTACCAAGTGTCATAGATTAAATTATGTCCCCCCAAAAATGTGTGTATCAATCTGGCTGGGCCATGATTCTCAGTATTGTGTGGTTGTCCTCCATTTTGTGATTGTAATTTTATGTTAAAGAGGATTAGGGTTGGATTGTAACACACTTACTAAGGTCAAATCCCTGATTCAGTGTAAAGGGAGTTTCCTTGGGGTGTGGCCTGTACCACCTTTTATCTCTTGTAAGAGATAAAAGGAAAGGGAAGCAAGCAGAGAGTTGGGGACCTCATACCACCAAGAAAGCAGTGCTGGGAGCAGAGCACGTCCTTTGGACCCGGGGTCCCAGTGCAAAGAAGCTCCTAGTCCAGGGGAAAATTGATGACTACGAAGACCTTCCTCCAGAGCCGACGGAGAGAGAAAGCCTTCCCCTGGAACTGATGCCCTGAATTTGGACTTGTAGCCTACTAGACTGTGAGACAAAAATTTCTCTTCGTTTAAGCCATCCACTTGTGGTATTTCTGTTATAGCAGCACTAGATGACTAAGACACCAAGCGTGATGTCCTTCTCCAGGGACTGGTCCCTCCTGATAACATGTCCAAAGTACGTGAGATGAAGTCTCACCATCCTCGCTTCTAAGGAGCACTCTGGCTGTACTTCTTCCAAGACAGATTTGTTTGTTCTCTGGCAGTCCATGGTGTATTCAATATTCTTCGCCAACACCATAATTCAAAGGCATCAATTCTTCTTTGTCTTCCTTACTCATTGTCCAGCTTTTGCACGTATATGAGGTGATTGAAAATACCATGGCTTGGGTCAGGTGCACCTTAGTTCTCAAAAGAGCTCTGGTTGTGCAGTGGTTAAGTGCTCAGTTGCTAACCAAAGGGTTGGTGGTTCGAACCTACCAGCTGCTCTGAGGGAGAAAGATGTAGCAGTCTGCTTCCGTAAAGATTTACAGCCTAGGAAACCCAACAGGGCAGTTCTACTCTGTTCTATAGGGTCACTAAGAGTTGGAATTCTGTGCTCGCTTCTTTAGCACATATAGTAAAATTGGAACAATACAGAAAGGATTAGCATGGCCCTTGCACAAGGATGACACGCAAATTCATGAAGTGTTTCATATTCTACTCCTAGGTATATACCCAAGGGAATTGAAGACACGTGTTCACAAAGCTTGTACACAAACGTGCATAACACCAAGCAGTGGAAACAACCAAAATGTCCCTCAGCTGATGAGCAGATAAGCAACATGTGTACATCCTTACAGTGGAGTGTTAATTAGCCATAAAAAGGAAAGAATTACTGACACATGTTATGAACTGAATTGTGTCCCCTAAACATTATGAGTTGTGAGTCTTCATCCTTACCCCTCTGGATGTGACCCCATTGGGAACAGGGATTTCTTCGTGACGTCGGAGAGCCCGTGTCAGTGTAGGGTGTGTCATAAGTGTCCCTTTTCTGGATAAAAAAGAGCGGATCAGGCACAGAAGAAAGAAGCAACGTGGGGAAAGCTGGATGCCACGTGGAGCTCTCCGAGGAGCGAGAAGAGCACTAGAGAAGCCGAGACAAGGATCTTCCCCCAGAGTGGACAGAGACAGCCTTCGCCTAGAGCCGGCATCCTGAACTGGACTTCCAGCCTCCCAAACTGTGAGAAGATACATTTGTTTGTTAAAGCCACCCACCTGTGGTATTTCTGTCAGAGCAGTGATTTAGGCCCTGTCCTTGAGCATCGAGAATGTGCCCCAGCTGGAGCTGGGCTCACAAGGACACATCAACTGGGCCCTGAGGTATAAAGACAAAAGCTAAGATAATCTTGGAAAATATCTTTTAGGGAAACTTTCACATAAAGCGGATCAAGTACAACAGAAAAGACTTTCCACTCTTATCTTTTGCTATTAGCATTTAGTGAATAGAAATTTGTTTGACCAATGAAGACCCTCCTGACTGTCGTTACTAAAACCTGTACCAATGATTGTTAAGAAAGACATTTCAAAATGCAGGATCAGTTTCTCGCCAATCTGTGAAAAGGCTAAGCTTTCAATGGTTTTGCCCATTTGTGATGATAATGTACACTGATGACTCTGTAATGGTCTTTGGACTCGGGCAGACATGGCTGCGGCAGCGTGCTTGTCCATTTTCCCACTTTTGTCTGTTCTGTGATATTTCCCTGGACTCGGGCAGACATGGCTGTGGCAGCGTGCTTGTCCATTTTCCCACTTTTGTCTGTTCTGTGATATTTCCCTGGACTCGGGCAGACATGGCTCTGGCAGCACAGTTGTCCGTTTCCCACTTTTGCCTTTTTGAATACGTGCCGAATAAAACTTTCTTTTTGCTTTACGAGACTTTGTGGTGTTCTTCCCCTACAACAGGAGCGCTATGTAACTAAGACATGCTACCGCATGGACAAACCTGGAAAACACGCTGAGTGAAAGAAGCAGACGCAAGAAGCCGCATAGGACATGATTCCATTGATATGAAGAGTCCAGAATAGGCAAACCCATAGAGAAGAAAGAAGGTTGGCGGTTCCAGGGGAAGGGGAGAGGGGAGGGGCTGTTAACAGGTAGTGGGGTGATGAAAACTTTCCAAACTTGATTGTGGAGATGGCTGCCTAACTCCGTGAGCATACTGTACAACTTACCGATGTGTACACCTTACAAGGATAGACCTCACGTACATGGAATGTACCTCAATAAGGCACTCGGTTACCAGGGTCTGCACTGGCCTTCCCATGGTGGGCTTGGGGGCAGCTGCAACTCAGCTGGACATTGGGGCCCTGCTCAGGCGCTCAGGCCGTTGGAGAGGGGCCTCTAGCAGAGTCACCCTTCAGGCCCCAAAGGGCAAGTGCCTGGCAATACCCTGGAAGCACCCTGTTAGCAGGAAGGCCCGGTCAGCAGGAGGGGCTCGGCTCTGGAGCTGAGGGATCAGGGTGGGCAGAGGCCCAGAGCGACAGGAGTGAGGGGTGGTTGCTGCCCCGCAAATCATGAGGCACCCAAGGGTGAAATGCATGGTCAGGTCTGAGGCCCCGTGGGGAGGCTGATGGTGAAGGAGGGAACAGCCTGGCCTGGCCTGCAGGTCCTGACTCAGCCCAGGGACCTCGGACGCCCACCACTGCTGGTTCCGGAGCCGAGCGAGTGCGGGCGGCGGGGTTAGCCCAGGGCAGCAGCGTCACAAGCCCTCACACTCCACCCTGAGTTTGCACAAGTATCTTGGGGAGGCCTTAACAAAGTACCATGGAGTGGGGGGCTTCTAATGACAGAAACGCATTCTCTCGCAGTCCTGGAAACTGGGAGACTGAACTCAGGGTGTGGACAGGGCTGTGCTTCCTCTGAAGGCCGCGGGGAGGGTCCCTCCCTGTCTCTCCAGGCATCTGACGGCCCCAGGCGTCCTTGGCTGATAGATGCTGTTCACAGGGCCTCTGAAGGCCATGGGGAGGGTCCCTCCCTGTCTCTCCAGGCATCTGACGGCCCCAGGCGTCCTTGGCTGATAGATGCTGTTCACAGGGCCTCTGAAGGCCATGGGGAGGGTCCCTCCCTGTCTCTCCAGGCATCTGACGGCCCCAGGCGTCCTTGGCTGATAGATGCTGTTCACAGGACCACCTCCCTTCATTGACCCTACCTGCTTCCTTTCCTACAAGCCCACCGCTTAGATAGACGAGGATCCACCCTACTCCGACATGACCTCAGGTTAACTGATAAGCATCTTAAAGACCCTAGTTCCCAACAGGGTCACCTTCACAGGTGCAGGGGTTAGCACTTGAACAGATCTGTTGGGGGGACACAATTCAAACCCAACACAACTTTTAAACACAGTGTAGTGAACACTGTTAATTGCTAAGACAATAATCACAACACGCCATTTAGCAAATTAATAAGACCAGAACCCCACCCCTGCCCCCCTGCCCCGTCTGCACTGAGAACCCCCGGGAAAGTCTCAGATGGAGGAACGGTGGGTCTGCCCAGGCAGAGCCCCAAGCTCGGAGAGACCCTGACCCCTTGTGGGTCTGTGGGAGGTCACGCCCCTGACACTGTTGGAGGCTGGCCCACGCCCTTGGCAGAGCCCGTGAGCACTGCTCTCTCCTTCCCCTCCTGTGGGCGGGCACCACAGGTGCATATGGGCAGCTCTGGGAGGCAGTGTCCCCCAGGCGGGGAGAAGGCAGCCTAAAGGCCCCGGGGCAGGGGTCTCGGCGTGTGCGCACTGGGGGGCGGGAGGGAGGAGGCCCTGCATAGACTCAGGGATCACCCTTGGAGCAAGGACACCCCTGTCCGGTGTGTGTGATGGAGGCCCTGTGGAAGGCCACTGCTGTGCCGTGGGGCCCGGCCAGAGGGCAGGAGGGGACTTGCCTGCACTTGGAGGTGAGGTCAGCAGGGCGTTGGGAGAAAGGCTCAGGGTGTGCCGGGAGCTCGGAGGAGGGTCAGGCTCTGGCGCCAGAGATGCCCAACACCTGGGTCCCAGGACGGCTGCCCAGGAAGCCGGGGGCCTCGGTTTCCCCACGGTGAGAACAAGGCATTAGGCCAAATACCCGGGGCTGCCCTCCCAGCTCGGACCCTCTGCCCATCATCCAGGCTAGGAGGGTGGGGGGACAGAGGCCTGGAGGGGAAGCTGCTCCTGCTTCGGCAGCCCTGGATGGGGGGGGTGCTGTGACACTGATCTGCACTCAGAGTACTTCGGGAGGTTTTAGACGGGGACCAGAAGCCAAAGAGTGGGCTGGGGCAGCGGGTGTGCAAAGGTGGCAGGGAGGGGTCCTCGGATGCCCCTGCAACACCCCACCCCCCCAACCTCCCGCGCCAGGTGGACACGCAGGCAGCCCAGGAGGGACCCTCTTCACCCTGCGCGTCTGCAGTGCCCCACCAGAGGGGGTGCACTGGAATGCAGCGAGGGCAGAAATGACAGAAACTCAAGGAGGGGGACCCCTGCACCCCCACGTAAGGCGTCCTAGCATGCATGCAATGAGGCATTCCTGGGGGGCCTCCTGCACCCCCACGTGAGCGAGCCGCCCTGAGCATGCCTGCAGTGAGGTGTTCTCTGCGGAGAACTCTAAAGACAGCGGCCGTCACACAGGGCCCCTCTGCCCCTGGGGGACTGAGTCCTGGGGAATCCTGAGGCCACCGTGCTGCATGCGGGTCGGTCTGCTGTGAAGCGGGTCTCCATCAGACGGACCACAGCAGGAGCAGAGACGGCCCTCCCTCCACGGAAAGTGAAGACATGAACGCCTGCAGCCTTCCGCACCCTTGGGGACGAAGGAGTGTGATGTCCTCACTGTAACAGGCTGATCCCGGGGACCCCTGCGTCAGACTGCTGGCAGGTCCTGTTACTCTATCCAGATTCAGCCTAGACTCACACCTGGTTGACGTGGGACCCCCCAACACAGTGGGCTCGGCAGGACCCCGTGCTAAGGTTTCCTTGCCCC